TCCAGCCTTAGATCTTAAAAACCAATCAGGGGTGTTAAGAGAACGCAGATTGAAAAGGTATGCACAGCCTGGAATTTATTTAAAACCTCATAAGTCAGTAAGAACACTTTCAAATCAATCCTAAATCTCACCAGGGGCCATAGAAGTGTTTTAAAAGGAAATCAAGAAAGGGATGCCAAGTCGTGGGAAATGGTGGGCTGGAGAGGAGGAAATGTGAGGGGGAGATTGGTTGTCCCAATGGATTAGGCTTTCCCCAGGAATTTTTGCCCTGCTTCTTTTTCAATTGAAACTTGATTTATCTCCATGCCATGAAAAGATTCACTTGCTAATTTCTGTAGCTGCTATTTAAAGCACAGCTACAGAGGCCAATGTTCGGTTGATATCACTAGTTAATTTTTAATTAATCTGGACTTGATAATCGTGTGTTAGATGGCAACATGTATTATTTCACATATTTCCAAAAATTGGTAAACCAGTCCAGCTGTCTTGGGGACCCTCCTGTACATTCTGCTTAGTGGGACCCCAAAGGTCTGCTCCTTCACAGACACAGAGAGAGACAACAGGGGGTGCTGGTGGCAATTGCTAGCAGCAGAAGGAGAGCTGGGAAGCTAGGCCATGCCATTGGCTAACACCTAAGAAGGATATTGATCAACTTAAACGTGCACAGAGGAGGGCAACCGAGATGATCCAGTGTGCTAGTCCCGTGGGTTACCCGAGAGGCGAGGTCCAAGTCCAGTACATGGTCAAAGGTGCAACATGGAGGCAGTCCGTAGTAGCTAAAGCTGGGTGCAGGGCATGAAGTCAGGTGAAGTCAGGAACAGGCTTGCAAGCAGGGAGCCAGGGTGGGTCAGGAGCTCAGGCAGGAAAGTAAGGCACGGTTCAGGCAAGAACTAGCAACTTGGGACTGGGGCTGGCTGGCTTTTATCTGCCCCAAGGCATGGGGCAGCCCCGATCCTCTGATGACTCACCTCTCCTGGCCTGGAGGCGAGCACTCCTCCTGTGGGAACTTCATTCCCTCCGCCTCTCTGCCCTGAACCTCTGCAGCTCAGGAGAGGCTGTAGGGTTACTGGACCCAGCTTCCTCTTACAGGGCTGAGAGTGGAGCACCTGCAGGAAATGGGTCCTCCATCACCTCAGGAGCCAGAGCAGACTCAGCTGATGCCTGCACCTGAGGATCCAGCACAGGTGAGGACCCTTCAGGCTCATGCCCCAGCCCCGGCTCAGCTGGTTCTGGAGGCGGGGAATCCTGTGCAGGCTGGGATCCCTCAGGTTCAGCATCCGAGTCTGAATCCCAGGCCATCACATCCAGGTTCTGGAAACCAAGCCTTATGAGAAGCAGTTGGGAGCTGAGGATGTTTTGCATGGCGAAGAGAAGACTGAGAGATGACATGATAGCCATCTTCAAATATCTGAAGGACTGTCACATGGAAGATGGAGCAAGCTTGTTTCCTGCTGCTTCAAAGGGAAGGAGCCAAACCAATGGACTGAAATGGCAAGAGATTCCAAATCAGCATTATGAAGGACTTCCTGATGGTAAGAGCTGCTTGACTGTGGAACGGACTCCCTTGGAAGGTGGGGGACTCTCCTTCATTGGAGGTTTTTAGCAGAGGTTGGATAACCATCTGTCAGGGGTTCTTTAGCTGTCATTCCTGCATTGCAGGGGAGCTGGACTAGATGAGTCTTGGGGCTCCCATCCAACTCTACAATTGTATGGTTCTGTGATTCTATGACACCTGGAAGCAGCCCTTCTGGCTGGCTGCAAGAGCAGGAGAGGCAGGAAGTGAGGCCGTTCCATCAGGTCTTCCCTCCTACAACTGTCAGCTGACCAATAGGAAGATAAGAGAAGCTCAGTTCTGCTGAGCCTCTTTTCTATGGATGCACCTCTTGCCATCCAGGCAGGCTCAAGGCATTATCACAGATTAAACACATACTGCAGCCAGACCAAAGCACTTTGTGATGTGTGTGGCAAGGGGCAGGGGGAGTGCTTTGACAAGGGGAGAGTCCTGAGGGCCAGCTAGAGCATCCTGAGGGCCACATTTGGCAACATTAACTTGATAAACCAGTAGTCTGACTATAAGGATGTTTCCTGTGTTTCTAACTTTCAGGAATAAGCATGTTAATATAAAACGATTGGTTGCATTTATATCCCACCTTTTAATTCCAATGAGCTCAAGGCGGTTGTCAGGAGTGTGTGCAGGAGCCAGGTCCTGGGAGCAGTAGGGCTTCGCAGGACTGGGGCCTTCCTAAGTTTGTTCTGGAGAGGCAAGGTGCGGCCGCACAGGTGAGGCAGCTTGGTAACTCGCTGCATCTGGTGCCAAGAGCCGGGAAGGGATATAAGGTCAGCATTTCCCTTTGGTTCTTTGCCACAGCAACACATTTCCTGCCTTGCTGTGTTTGGCTTCTTGCTTCCTGATCCTTGGACCTCAGCTTCTTGACTCCTTGCTTCTCGATCCGCAAACCCTTGTCTTTATGACTCCTTGCTTCTCAACCCTCGGACCCTTGACTTTGTGACTCCCTGCTTCCTGACCCTTGGACTCCTGGCTTCTGGACTCTCGTTCCTGCTCCCACCCCACCATCTTGCCCCCAGTCCTGACATCCTCAGCCAGTACTTCGATCACCCATAGATCAGACCATGACAGCGATATACATGGTTTGCCCCTTCTCATTTAATCCCCAGAACAGCGCTGCGAGGAGTGAAAGACCTCACCTGGAGTTCTGGAGACCTCACCTGGAGTACTGTGTCCAGTTCTGGGCACCACAGTTCAAGAAGGACATTGACAAACTGGAACGTGTCCAGAGGAGGGCAACCAAAATGGTCAAAGGCCTGGAAACGATGCCTTATGAGGAACGGCTAAGAGAGCTGGGCATGTTTAGCCTGGAGAAGAGGAGGCTAAGGGGTGATATGATAGCCATGTTCAAATATATAAAAGGATGTCACATAGAGGAGGGAGAAAGGTTGTTTTCTGCTGCTCCAGAGAAGCGGACAGGGAGCAATGGATCCAAACTACAAGAAAGAAGATTCCACCTAAACATTAGGAAGAACTTCCTGACAGTAAGAGCTGTTCGACAGTGGAATTTGCTGCCAAGGAGTGTGGTGGAGTCTCCTTCTTTGGAGGTCTTTAAGCAGAGGCTTGACAACCATATGTCAGGACTGCTCTGATGGTGTTTCCTGCTTGGCAGGGGGTTGGACTCGATGGCCCTTGTGGTCTCTTCCAACTCTATGATTCTATGATTCTATGATTCTATGAAAGGCCCAAGGTCACACGCAATGAGCTTCATGGCCAATTGAGGATTTGAAGCCTGGTCTCTCTCAGGTCCTAGTCGGACACTCTAGGCACTATTTCTTTTTATTCCTCCTCTTTTGCAGCAAATCCTGAAATTACTCTGCCTAGCAGGCCACATGACCTATAAGAAGTAAGAAGGATAGATCCTCCTCCTCCTGGCTTCTCCGGACATTCAGTGGAATTTCTGGCAAACCAAGAGCCCTCATAATGAGGCCATTGGCAGGATCCAACCCTGGGCAGCTGCTGGAGGTGAGATGCTCTTTGTTTCCCCTTCCCTGCCATTATCTCCACCATGAAAATTGCTTTCCTGTTGCAGTAAACCCTTTTAGTGGTGCTAAACAACACAATAAAGGCTGGCTTTATTAGACAGAAATCTGTTTTGCTGCTCAGCAATTACGTTTTATCACTGGATGCTGCGGCTAGTAATATAGGATGCCTATGGACACGATCCGCCACACTGGGGGGGGAGCAGGAATCACAGCAGAACAGGAGGTGGGGCCCATATCTTAGAAACTCTTGCATCCAAGCAACAGCAACAGTTTTGTTCTGAGTAATATAGTTGTCTGCTGAGGAATACTCACCCACCAGAATGAAGGAGGGAAGCCCACAGGAATTTCAGGCGGGTTATGAATGACTGGAAGGGTGACAGTTGAATTAAGATTCCTTAGACTCTGCAGCTCCACACACTATATATTTAAGATGGAGCAAGCTTGTTTTCTGCTGCTCCAGAGGGTAGAACCCGGACCAATGGATTCAAATTACAAGAAAGGAGATTCTGACTGAACATTAGGAAGAACTTCCTGATGGAAAGAGCTGTTCAGCAGCGGAATGGGCTCCCTTGAAAGGTGGTGGACTCTCCATCTCTGGAGGTTTTTCAGCAGAAGTTGGATGGTCATCTGTCAAGGATTCTTTAGCTGCAATTCCTGCATTACAGGGGCTGGACTCGATGATCCTTGGAATCTCTTCCAACCCTACAATTCTATGAAAACTACTAGTTAGTTCCTCGTTTTTAGCAGCTTACCATGAATAACTACTGAACAGGGTAGATTTGATCCTGAAATAGCTGTTAGGCAGTGGATTCCATTACAAGAAACAGACCACCAGAGTTTAAGAAATAAGCCATTTCTTCAAGCAGAAGTGTGTGTGGGAGAGAGTTAGCACAATTTATTAGCCTCCTACTATCTCCCGTGACACCGGTGATCTATCATATCAATTTTAATTGGAATAGAGGCCTAGGAGATTTTTCAGATTTGGGCCACAGCGAGCCACCGCAGATTCTACTATTTATCTTAAAGCAGCAGGATTATTTCATATGGAGAGACCAGACCAGAATGGAATGCACATGACCCTCCTTTAACCAATATTTACAGTGACAATGCATTCTAAGTGTCAAAGGTAAACAGAGATTGCGGGAGGGGAGAGCAAGCAAAAGGAAAGTTCTTAGTGGCACAGTGATAAAGGAACAAAGGAACCTATGGGAGCTGTATGTGATATTTTGATATTGACCCAGACACCGACTAAGGGAAATTGACAAATTCACATGACAGATGTGTTTTTGAGGGTGCAGGGGAGTGCAAAGAACAAGAGATGGGGAATTTAAAACTGGATGAGCATAAGGACCTTGGAAGAGCCCTGCTGGTTCAGACCAAAGGCCTATCTCAGGGGTTGAGAACCTCAGGCTCAGGTTCCAATTCAGCTCTCCGTGTCTCTCTGTCTGGCACTCAGGACTCACAATTAGCTCAATCAGTAGAGCATAAGACTCTTAATCTCAAGGTTGTGGGTTTGAGCCCCATGTCAGGCAAAAGATTCCTGCATTGCAGGGGGTTGGACTAGATGACCATCATGGTCCCTTCCAACCCTATGATTCTACCCCAGACCCCACTCCCTCTCCTATCACAACCCTCCCCCATCACACTCCCTTCCCCCCAACCCACAGCCTTCACCAGCCCTGCTTTGTACCTTCCAAGAGTGTTTTTGCCAGGCTGGAACAGGTTTTGAACTCTGATACTGCCTCTTGCTTGCCTGGATAAATGGCAGAGAGGAGGTTGTGAGTAAGTTTAGAACAGGGGTCCCCAAACTAAGGCCTGTGGGCCGGATAAGGCCCAAGGGACTCGCTTATCCAGCCTGCGGCGACCCCCGCCACCTGCTGCCGCCGCCCGCTCTTACCGGCGCTGCGCTGTGCGGCTGCCCACTTCCAGGTCAGAAGAGCACCAGAAATAGCTTGCGCACATGCGCAAGCCTTATTTGCGCATGCGCAAGCATTATTTCTGGTGCACATCCAGGTCGGAGGAGGCCCGTGCACATGCGCCCAAGCTATTTCCAGTGCTCCTCCAACCCGGAAGTGCGCTGGAAATAGCATGTGCGCACGTGTATGGGCACGCACTGCCCCGCCCTCCGGCCCACCGCTTGATCGGCGCTGGAGACACCAGCCCAAGGTGCGGTAAGTTTGCTGACCCCTGGTTTAGAAGCTAACAAAACAGACAGCTGTTGCTCCACCCACTTTTGCATTTGGCCCCACCCACCACTGGAATGTATCCCAGAGAAGATTGTCCAGAAGGGAATGGAGCCCCTGTGTAATGTGCTCTGCATGAGCCACTGGTGGAGGAAGAGGAGTGCGGGCAGAGCACCCCACCCCTGGCAGCGCACTCCCGGTGGGGTACCATTGTGGCACACCACGCCCCCAGGACGCACACCATGCCCCCGCAGGTGGCGCACCATGCCTCCAGGATGCATGCCACTCCCCCAGGATGCATGCCAGCCCTGCACCCGCCTGCTCTCCACCCCCCTGGTGCCGTAGCATGAAGCTCTGCCACTGCGTGAGGCTGCCTGTCTTACATCAGCTCAGCCCCGAACACACAAGAGTCAGAGACTCCTATGTGTTAGTAAGAAAGATCTTATTCAGGCAAGCAACAGTACAGTGCTCAGGAGTTACAGCTCAGGAGCAGGGCAAGGAGTTCAGAACTTGACAGAAGCAATGAAGACATCCCAACATTTCCTGCACCCAACCTGCCAAGCTTTTAAAGATGAAGGATGACTCTCCCACTTGCAGGTTCTGGGTGCCACGGTTTATGAAGGATACTAGCAAGCAGGAACATGTACAGATGAGGGTGACTGAGATGACCGAGCCTTGTGAGGAAAGGTTGAGAGAGCTAGGGGAAAGACAAGTAAGAGGTGGCATGATAGAGGGGTATAGAATTATGCTCGGCATGTAGAAAGTAGCTAAGGGAAAGTTTTTCTCCCTCTCTCCTAACACTGGAATTCATGGGCTTCCAACAACAGGAGAAACGGCCACCAACCTAGATGGCTTTAAGAGAGGATTCGACATATGCATGGCTCCTAGCCATTGTACCTCTACCCTGCCTCCACAGTTGGAAGCAGCAGTGTTTCTGAATACCAGCCACTGGGAACCACAAAAGAGGAGAGTCCTCTTGTACTTGGGTCCTGCTCGCTGGTTTCCCACAGGCATCTGGTCAGACCTTGAAAGAACAGGATGCTGGAGCAGATGGACCACTGGCCTGATCAAGCAGGCTCTTCTTCTGTGGGCTCCTCAGAAGAGGCATCTGGTTGGCCACTGTAAGAGCACAAGGCTGGACCAGATGTTCCCCCTTTGACCTGACCCAGCTGCTGCAGAGCTCTTCTTACTTTCTTCAACAAGATGTAGAAGCACCGTTCACAGGATACTGAATAGCTAGGGATGTGTAGGGAAGTGGGTTGTTGTTTTTTTCATTTTAATCTCCTGATTGAATATATTCACATTCTTCTATGCCCTTTAAACTAAATGCCTGTGAAAAAAAAGGCATTGTCAAAAGTAATCCTGCAGAAACTTCAAAGCCGGTTCCTGAAATCAAAATGAATTTCCTTCACTTTGGATTAGAGTTGCCGACCATCAGATATTTTGCTTGCTCATTCAGTATTTTGCCTCAGGTTCAGTATTATAATGTATTATAATGCTTGATTTTTTTGAAAAAAAATATCACTTTCAAAGTGTTCAAAGTGTCTCGAATACACTATCTCATTGTAATCCTAATAGCAGCTTCCCAAGATCTGAACCTAATGTTGTTGAATAAACGCAGGCATTTTTGAGCCAAGGGACTGAGTTAATAGGAAAGGTCTACTGATTCCACCCTGACCCACCCAAAATTGCCAAGCCCTGCCCCAGGCTTCCAAGAACTACAAACCTCCATACCCTGATCCTGACTCTCCTGTCAAAACCCATTCTCAATAATCTGAACCCCACCCCTAGCTTTTGACCCCTCTACCTGTTGCCTTCCAGATACTTCTGGACTACAATTCCCATTCTTCTTCATGGAGGGTCACAACTAAGTTTGTATCTGCTTTGCATGCAAAAGGTCCCTAGTTTGGGGATAGTTCCTTGCCTGAAATCCTGCATAGCTGCTCTAGTCAGTATAGATAATCCTGAGATAGATGAACCAATAGTCTGACTCAGTATGAGTCAGCTTCCTATGGCTGACCTTTGGCCCTGCTGACTAAGGGCTGATAGGAGGACCACAGCAAGGTAGCAGTGCTTACCTGACCTCCTACCACCAGCATCACTGCAGCTTACCAGCAGGGAGAGAAGTGAGGCAGCAGGGAGGTTGGCATGGTTCAAACACACTGGCAGAGCCAATTGAATGTTCCCACCAGTGCATTTGCACCTTGCTGGCCACCCTGCTGCCTTGTCCTTTGCCTTCTCTCTCCCCAAAATTAACAGCCAGGCTGTTGACCGGAGGTCAGGTCAAGGTCACCAGCCAGCCAACCAAACCTGGCCAGAGTTTCCCCATCTGCATTGGATTGTGCTGGGTTTGAGAAGTGCACATCATTATTTTTGCAAGTGAGCAGTAAATACACTGAAAGTTCAAACTGTTTATAGTCTGGCTGAATCTGTCTCAGTTAAAGTCTCTCCTGGAGCCTGGCTTTGATTGCTTGGCAGACTGGAAAGCATCAATCTAAATCAGGGAGCTCCCCCCAAAGACATTAAGGAACCTGGATGGCGGGCAGCGGCAGCTTTAACCTAAACCATTTAAAACAAATAAAGCCTCATTTGCAATTCTATTCACAGAGAGACGGAGCTTTAGCGAGGCTCTCTTTGGGCTTCCAGCTTTGGGTATATTGGATTGAAAACATTAAAAGTTAGAGGAAGTTTGCTACAACACAAAAGCCTTGAGATGCTGGCAGAGGGAGGAAGAGCCTTGACTTGAGAAGCCAGTCCCCTGGCTGCACTTTTCTGATTCTCGTTATCTCATTGCTACAGTTGCCCATGCATTGGTAATCTCATGGTTGGATTACTGCAATGCACACCATATGGGGATACCCTTGGGGACAGTCCAGAGGCTGCAACAAGAGCAAAATGTGGCCGCTAAGTTGTTTGTGGGGGCAAAATACCACCAGCATATAACACCTTCCTTGCAGGAGTCGCACTGGCTACCAGTTTGCTACCAGGACAAGTTCCAGGTGCTGGTGCTAACAAATACAGCCCCATACAGCTCAGGACCAGATTTCCTGAGAGACCACCTCACCCCTTATACACCCAGTAGCTCACTGCAGTCTGCAGGTGAGTTTCTCTTGCAAGTTCCAAAGATCTCAGCAACCTCGTCTGCAGGAACTCAAAGTGGAGCTTTTACTGCAGCTGTCCTGTCTTGTGGAACAGCATCCATATTGAGATACAACAGGCGCCCATTAGCTGTACTTTCTGGAAACGGTTGAAGACATTTTTGTTCCTGCTGGGAAAATGGGTCTTTGCCATGAGCGTTTTTAATTGCTTTTAATTGTCTTGTGTGTTAATTGCCTTAAGTTGGTTGTTTAGAAGGTGGCTAATAAATTAATTGTAATATTAATAACAATAATTACTTGCTTGGTGGGCTGTCGTTCCTAGCTTGCACAGCTTTCAACCAGAGGGCTTTTCAAGCCCTCTGGTTGTAAGATTGAATACTGGATTGCTGCAGTGAGCTTTCTGTGGGGCTTCCCTCGGGCCTGATCTGGAAGTTGCAGTTAGTGCAGAATGCTGCAGCACGATTGCTGACAGGAGTGAGACCTCATCAGTATACACCACCAGCGTTCAGAAATCTGTACAGGTTGCTGATCTGCTACTGATCCAAGTTCAAGGTGTTACTCTTAGCATAATAGGTAAAGGTAAAGGACCCCTGACAGTTAAGTTCAGTTGCAGACAACTCTGGGGTTGCGGTGCTCATCTTGCTTTACTTTTTTTTTTTTTTAAATGATATTTATTAAAGTTTCAAAAAATACAAAAAATACAGAATACAAAAAGAAGAAGAATAAAGATTTTTTAAAAAAATATAACCAAAAAAATTAAATAAAAAGAAATATAAAAAGAAACATACCAAATAAACAGTTAAAAAGACATTAATTTTCCATAACCTATCTTCCCTATACTTATTTCCCCGGACCTCCTCATACCTCCCTTTTTTGTATTCCAGTTCAGTTTGTTAGTTCAGCAAATCCTTACCATTAAAATTACCCAGTTGCAAACCTTTTTTCATATCTCTTAAAGTATTACAGCTAAAAACCTCTTAGTTTCTATCCAACATCCTTCTAAAATTCCTTAATTTTACAATATTTCTGTAAATAGTCTTTAAATTTCTTCCAGTCTTCTTTCACCGACTCTTCTCTCTGGTCTCGGATTCTGCCAGTCATTTCCGCCAGTTCCATGTAGTCAATCACCTTCATCTGCCATTCTTCCAGAGTGGGTAGATCTTGTGTCTTCCAATACTTTGCGATGAGTATTCTTGCTGCTGTTGTAGCATACATAAAAAAGGTTTTATCCTTCTTTGGCACCAATTGGCC